TTGCCATGAGTACGTTCGACCTCATCCACGTCCACTGATCGTCTAGAAACGTGTTTGGACGCGATCAGATCCTCGCTGCTCGTTGAAAAGCTTTAGTCGATACCGCGCGGTCTGAAACTAGGGGGTTGCTACCCGCTCGAAGGACTGTTGAAAATCGTAACGGGGATTCTCATCGCCGCCGCAGCTGCCGTTGCGCCGGTTGCGCCGGGGTTGCCCGACTGAAATTTGTTTAATCCGTTTAGGGCTTCATACATGATAGAACTTTGTAACCGTTGTAGGTTTTATAACCAACAATAGTCGGCGTAGGGTAGCAGAGACTATCTGAATACAACTTTTCGGGCATTAGTAAGGAATGATATTACATTTTACAATGACATTGTAATTTTATAATTATGATTGCTTTAATCTGAATTTTTTTACTATACAATAGTTACTATCCAGCATTTGTAGTCTTGGGCTTGAAATACTTAGGCTGTTATGTATCCAGTATTCAGGATTATGAAAGTTATTTTTAAAAAATAATTCTATTTGTTATTGTTATATAATAAGTAACCGTTACAATTTTTGTTATTTTTTTTATCAACTTCTGAAGACTTTTTTTAGGACTTATTTGTATTGCTCCATATATATGTATGAATCGTAATAATTATTTTTATTTTCGTTATTAATAAAAAAATATAAGCTCTTATCAATTTGTTATTGAAAAAACGTAACAAGTACGCGTTATATACATTATTTTGGTATCAATGCTATTGCTTTTGCTCTCACTTCGTAACTGTCCTTTCATAACATGTAATAATCGATACATGCGTGAATATTGATATGTATCAATTCTGAGCCCAAAACTATATCCTAGATACCACTGAATTATTTTGTTAAATGAGAAAATGAAAATTTGATTCTATTTTTATCCTGTCATGCATGTTTTTGCAATTTACCCTATGTTGTGTAATATGTTACTCATTAATATCATGGTTAGATTTGGTTTATCTTTTATTTGATATGTCATATCAAGATTCGATATTGATAACATTATATATATGATAACATTATAGTTATAATAATATTTTTATAATTGGCTAAAACGGAATATTAGTAAGAGCGAAAGAACCGAAACATTGCGGAAAGTTTAATCTATTTGGTTCCGAAAAATTATTTCCGACCGCAACAAATAAAGTGATACAATCATTGATTAAGTGTTTTAAATAAGTGATTTTGCGATATCAGAACAGATAAAGCGCACATTCAAACACGAGCAAAAATAGCAGTGCGGATATAAATATCGAGATTTATATCATGACTGAGAATCATCGATCATTTTCACATTGCGCCTAAAATCATGTGTCAAATTTAATGTATACGAAATTGAATGAGTATACGAACGTTGACTGAATGCATAATCTTTAATAATAATATGACCACATAATTATAATTAACAATATAATAGAAGATTTATGAACCTGCATATTTAATTAGCATGTTTGCGAATTTTAAATCTCGAACACCTCCGCCACCTTTCGCCGAAGACCTAGCTATTTGTAGTAAAAGAATTTATATTAATATTCCCACTTTCCCATTTAAAGAACATAATTAAATGACAATGTTAATTGTCCATATTTTTTTGCACGATATCAGACTCCTTCCAACCATGTAAAAGTAAAAAGCAATTATCCAGTAAAAAATTTTAACGGTATTGCATTTTTATTTTAGTAGAGTTTGATTTGGCTCGAGTTTGTTAGAATTTGAATATCCTATATGTCAACATCTGTTATGAGCTTCAATTATGTGACGTGTATTTATTTATTATGAATGTTTGTTACTAATTCGAAAGTGATAAGGAATATGTTAAATATTTTAATAATTAAAATAATGTATTGCGATTTATATGATAAAACTCTAGAGACCACTTGTACATATGAAATTATTTTTAAATACACAATTATAATTAGTATTGCAAGTAAACTATGTGTACATCAAAGAAACAATATGATAACTCAAAATTAATTGAAATTTGTATTATCAAAAGTAATAAGGGATTAATCGTTATTTGTCACGAAGTAATCATTATATTCAAATAATAGATATTTTACGCTGATGATCTGCAACCTAATAATTAGCGATCGGTTGATTCCAAATAGAGCACGAAATAATAACCACTGCGGGAAATACTCCTAGATGTTGAACACCGTTGGGTCGAGGTTGGGCGCGTAGCATTATCGTGTTTAGTTCGGGGTGGGATTATGGTGGTGGTGGCTGGTGGTAACGTTGGTGTGGTGGTGGTTGCAGATCACGGGCTTGATGAGGCAGAGGGCGCGGCTTACCACCACCACCACAGCCATCACCAGCAACATCATCGGCATCGCCATCATCATCCACTATCCGTCCCTCCTCCTCACCACCGTCATCAGGCAAAACTGGAAGACGACACATCAGATATTCAATCTTCTACCACGGCCACCACAACGATCACGACAACTAGCAAGTATCAACGCAGTCAGCCGGACTTCATGCAACAGAGATTGTTGCGAGAACACCATCGGCAGCACGGTTATAGGTGTCCCCTTTGCTGCAGAACATTACAGGATATCAGCGCTATGAGGGCGCACTTGGATCAACATTATCCCAGAGATTCACCCACTTGTCCTGTTACTTCCTGCGCCAAAACCTTTTCCCATCCCAACAGTGTTAGAAACCACATGCGACTGAAGCATCCTGTGCAGTGGGATCAGATTAAGACCTTGAGGTGGACCTATGTCTGATAAACAAGTGAGGATCAGTCTAACTCTGATCGTGTGTTGCAAATTTAATCTTATTTATTTTACCAAAGAAATTTTGTTTTTTGTTTTTTGGTGTGGCCCTGCAATTCTTTATATCACAACTATGCGGCGATAATAAATAGTAATTTAATAGCTTAACGTGAACTTTTTAGTTCAAAAAGACTACAAAACATTATTAAATGATTAAGTGATTAAAGATTAAATGATTTAACATACATTATTATTAATATAAATATATATTAATAATTATGAAAAATAATATATTTAAAAATAAATATTTAAATATCATTATATAAATTGACAATCATTCTCTGTACAAGAAAATTTAAACTTGTTTTTTTTTTTATTAATATTTCCAGAAATAATAGATTAATGTCAAATCGAGTTATCGCCGCGCTAACTTATTTTGAATGTTGGAAGAGAGTCTGGTCAACGAAAATTAAATTCTTCATAATACGTAGAATATCAATAGAATTTTGAGATAAATGGAATTAGTAAACGCATTGAAAAAATGTGTGAAGTATAAATTAATTGGGACAAAGTTACATTCTGGCGTGATAAGAGATGCAAAGGTGACAACCGAACTTAGCGAATTATTTTAAAACTGTTAGACATTGGCTCCCACCGTGAAGTTTAACTCTGATGGAAAGCGCACATTGTACATATGTGAGAGATTTTATTGACAAAGGAGAGAGATCTATAAATATATACAAAAAGATATATTAATAAAATATGTATATACATATATAAACATACATATATATTTATAGGATGTCCAGTCATAACTATATCATTTCTTGATGTGCTTTATTATAAATCACATTATCAAATATTTTGTTTAACTTAAACCATGAATATCTAACTAATTCTTCTTACTATACGCTTATATTCGCTACTGAATCACGCGAATATACGCTTACTCGAAGGTTTCCATTAATTAATAATTTATTAATAATTTATTAATAATTGCGAAATTTACGAAATGTAATGTAAATAAATTTGTTAGAATTTCTTGATTTAATGCGGTCTATTTTATCTGTTCAGGAGAAGGGATACACTTGTTACTGGACATCTTATATATTAAAATTATACACACATACATACATACTTATATATATGTATGTATGTATGTAATTTA